CTTCACTTGATTTTTCTGTGTTAATGAAGATGGAAAGGAGAGAAAAAATTTGGGAAATATTCAGGAGGTAAAATTCACTTGCCAAGTGATTGATTGGTCAAGATCTTTAAGAGGAAGGATAGGTGATTAGGCATATCAAGGTTTCACTAAGCAAGATGCAGATTCTATGAGATTTGAGCTAAAAACCTATGAGTTTAGTCTTGGATATAGGAACTGTAGACACCTATAAACATTCAGTAAATATGTCCAGTTGGGTGGTGGCTATATGTGTCTAAATTTAAGAGTCATCAATCCTGAATATATGGATTTGAGCATTATTAGCATATTGTGATGGTTAAAACCATGTGGATAAATGAAATTACCCAGGATGAGCATGCATGGTGAAAAGAAAAGTCTGAGAAGAGAACCCTGGGGGACATCAGTACTTAAATCGTTTACAGAAGAGTAGAATCCAGCAAGGCAGCCTGCAAAGAAATAATCAGAAATGTAAGAGGAAAATCAAGAGAATGGTGTCACAGAAGTCAAGGTAAATGAAACTTATACGGGCCGAGCGTGGTGACTCATGCCTGTAATCCCTGCACTTTGGGAGGCTAAGGTGAGTGGATCACTTGAGGCCAGGAGTTTGAGACCAGCTTGGCCAACATGGTAAAACACTATCTCTATTAAAATAAAATAAATAAAAAATTCGCTGGGCGTGGTTTTACATGCCTGTAGTCCCAGCTACTGGGGAGGCTGAGGCACAAGAATCACTTGAACCTGGGAGGCGGAGGTTGCAGTGAGCCAAGATTGCACCATTGCACTCCAGCCTGGGTGACAGAGGGAAACTCTTTCTCAAAAAATAAGTAAATAAAAAAAAGAAACTCATGGAAGATAGTTTCTACAGTGTTACAAATGATAGTGAAATGGAGAAAACTAGCGGCAGAAAAGTGTTAGTTGGGTTTGGCACTTAAAAGGTTGTTGTTGTTGTTTAGTAAAAAGAGCTTCAATAGATAAATAGTAAAGAAGCCAGATTGCAATTAGTAAAGATGGGAAAATTACAACCCAAAGCACTATTTAGATTGAATTAAAGGAAAATGGAGGGTAGAGTTAGGAAGATATCTGGAAAGGGATGAGAGAGAGTTTCATCACAGAGTGAGAAAAGATTGGTTCCTAGGAAGAAGAGATCAATAGAGGAGAGAGTGAGACGGAAGGTGATAGGACCAGAATTCAAATGAAGAAGCTGGCTTTCATCTCAGTTTGGATCTTTCCAGAAACATGGCATGAGACAAAAAAGCAGATACAAATAGTTTCCCTGGGAAGCAAAGGAAATATCAGTAGTGGAATGGGACAATGAGAAAAGGAAGGAAGACAGCTGACAAAGGATAAACTGTCAAGTCAGCTATCATCATGAGTCACTGGAACTTAACTCAATGGGAAAGTCTATAACAGTGTAAAATGCGTGCCTCAGAATTTTCTCAACCAAAGGGTGGGAAAGCTGAGGCATTTTTACTCCAACTACCTTCAAATGTTGGTTGAGCGTTGCTTCCTACAGTTTTACTTCTCTGGCATTTCTAGCCTGCATTGCAGGTGGCTGAGCAATTATCCTCTGCTTCAGGAAAGTAGCTCCAGGTAAATAGAGGTTGCAGATACTGCACAGCTAGGAGTTGGGCCAGATCAACTGAAGCAGTAAGGCTCAGGGGTGCATGCTAGGCACCAACTGCTTCTCCTACAGTTTGGAGGGCTGACTCTTCAGCTGAGTGAATGGAGGCATGGCATTGAATGGACTCTCTATTAACCTTTCATGTCATAATTTTAGTGTGCTAAATTTAGATACACTCGAAATTTATCGCTAAATTCATATACCCTCAATTTTGAGAGTCAAACATGTTTAATTAAGAATCTATAGGATAAAAACCTACCCCCATCTTACATATGTAATTGATAATATCCTGATGATGCCTGGCTCCAGTTTCAATAGAGGTAGAAGGTCTTATTTGATTCAAAATCATCAGTGAATTAATCTAGGTATTTAGAAATTAGAGTAAAGTAGGGAAACAAGCCCCCAATCACAGAATTCATATCCTTAGGGCAAATCATTATTCTATAGTTGGTCTCTATTACTACAGAGACATAAATAATAGGCATTGGCATCAAACTTATACTATTTCGAGTTGATTTGAAAGATTTGAGTGGTAGTTTAGGCTCTGGAAATATAAGTTTTGCTTCTGAATTTTTTTTCTGAAATTTGGGTCAAAATGATTTTTATCCTGCATAATGATATGAATAACACTATTTACTCTTAAATGTGTTAACCTAATTACTAAATATCAAAGAAATGATTGAAATGTTTCAAGGGGACATGGAGCTGAAAGCTGGAATGAGAGACTTCTATTTGGGCTAAAAGCCTTGTAGTTTTATTTGACCTTTTAAACTCAGCGCTTATATTACTTTATTTCTAAACATTCTATGAAGAAATAAGTGCTTGTAGAACAAAAGAGAAGGGCTAAAAGAGAGACCAGTAGAAAGAGGTGGAGAATCAGAACTGGAGTGCAAAAGAACAAAGATTCCAGGTATACAAGGATGATAAATCGCTTCCACAAATGAGCACAAAGGGATATTGTGTACAATGCTTCCATGAAGAAAGAGGGCACTGATAGGTACCCACCTGGTTGAAATGAGCAACTACTGTATTCTAAGCTTTGTGTTGATAGTTTTAACCTTTGCGTGTCATTTTCCAGGGAGTGAGACCTTTGAGCTGGATGCTTAAGACTGTAACTTAAGTTTCTTCCACAAAGAGGATTTGTTTTGCTTTTCGTGACATGATGGTGCTAGAACAAAATGTCCTAAGAAAAATTTGATGGCAGTGATAGCGTTATCTTAAGGGATAAAGACGTGGAGTGAGAATGCTAAGTGTAGGTGAAAAGACCTCTTGAAAACCCATTCACATTTGTAAAGTGCATGCCTGGAGACAGCTTGAGCCTTTAGAAATGAGAAGAACAATGGGAGAATGGTTTTATTCCCATCTGAATAATTGCAAGTTGACCTTCCTCCAACTAGAAAAGTGGGGTTGTGTCTGAGGAGTTGGTTGAAGAACAATTTTTTGTAGTCGCTTCGTGATACTGAACAGGTCACTTAGCCTTTCTCCTCCTTACTTTCTTTCACAGTAAAATGGGATGGTAATCTCCACTTCTAAGGGTTGTTGTGGAGACCACATGAAGACATTGATGTAAAGTCTGCCTGGCAGATGATGTAAAGTGCCCATTTGTGCTTTTTGCTTTCTTTGCTTTTAAGGCATTTGGCACTTTATTATTCTTTGATCAAAATGAAAGCTTTCACATGGGAAATCAATTTTTGGGGGATTTGGATCTTCAAACTTTCCTCCAAAAATAAAGACTATATATTCCATGACACAGTATGTGTAACAAATGGGAGAATTTAAAATGCAGCCTTAAAGGGTGTTAAAACAATTTTGTTTAACATGGGCTGAAGATCAGCACAGAGCTCAGGTTTGATGGAGAGCATAAAATTAGACAAATTCCTGGATAAAAGACTTATAATCCAATTAGCCGTCAGGATCCCATAAATATTTATGCAAAAATCATATGACTGGAAAGAATTTCAAGTTAAATGCAAATAAGATTTTGAAAAAAGAAAACCCTTAACTTCCTTGTTCACTCTAACCTCTTATATGCATTCAACATGCCATTGAAATATTAAAAATAGAGAAAACTTAAACCGCTTTAGTGTGACAAGTTGTCTGTAGCTGGATGGTTGACTGGATATAAAACATTATACCCCTTCAGCTATTAAAGCTGTCCTTGAAAAAGAATATCTCTGTTTCCTTCAAGATCACTTGTGCTTCAATGAATAGCATTAAACTGCCTTGCTTTTGATAATGTCGCTTCGTCAGCATGGTTTTTGTCCTTGACCTATAAGAGATACAAGTGGGAGGTTCCTAAAAGTCATTTCAGCATTGTCAGGTGAATATGATTTTCTGATTATTAGAGTTGACTACAAATGGAACAAGCTGTAAGCGTGTTTTGTTCACTGCAGGTGTTCAAATAAATATAGGCTCAATATATAGTAATCATGTTGCCTCAGTTACTCTAAGATGTTCTGGCCCTAGGAAACCAAAGACGACGAGAAGAATATGGACACACATTAAGGTGAGGGAAGGGTTGGGTTACGGGGTATCTCTTTACAAACTTGCAAATAAGCAAAACTGTTCAATGATGTTAAGCCAGAGAATATTTGGAACTCATTAGGTTTTATCTCCTTGTATTTTACTGTGTGTCTCCACATACCTTGAAAACCATATTAACAAACTAGATCTGTACCCTTGCACTAAGGCTTACTTGTCTGATTTAAGACAAGTTATGGACCTACTGTAGGCCTCAGTTTCCTTATCTGTAAAAAGGGGTTATTAATAAGAGTGCCTGCCTTATAAAATTATTATGGGCGTTCATTAAGGCAATCCTGGAGAGTTTCACTCTGCCTACCTCACAGGAAGCATTCAGAATATAATCTTTTTATTAAAATAAGGACAAAAGAGTGTCTTATAAGGGGATTTTCCCACACAATGGGACCATTTGTCTCTCCAAAAAGTTATTCCCTTTTTCAAACTATAAAAGTTCTTTTCTGAAACTCTAAGCATAGGTTGGGTGCTTGGACTACACTCATGGGATATGCTTTCACCCCAGACTTCATTATTTTAAGTATTTAATTCATAGCATTCATTTAGAGTAAATATTTCAATATTTTTTCTCCAAATACTGATAGCCTGGCTATCCTAGGTGAGCATTGTATAGGATGAGGAGCTAGCATGGTAAAGTAGGAAGCCCTCTGACTTTAGAGCGCAGTCGCCATGGTTTATGTTCTAGCTTTGACACTTGTTAGCCTGGTAGCCACCTGAGGCAAGTTACTTAACCTCTCTGAGCCTCAGTATCCACAATTGTTATATATATATATATATATACATATATATATATATAATTTTTAAAGGACTGGAAGAAATGCATAATCAGTTATTTCATGTTATATCATATGGTACTGGGTATCCAGCAAACAATCTTTCCAAAGATTACAATTTTCACTTTTCAGCCAGCCAGGTATGTCTGCATGATTAAACACGGCCTGAGAGTGCTTCTTCCCCACCCCACAAGCAGCAGGAATATTTTCTGTCTTGCCTTTGTCCTAACACAGAATTAATGTAAGATTCTGGATTGTTCCCAGATTATGTCAGTACAAAGGCCCTAAATAAATGCTTTGGTTAGAAACAGTTTCGGCTCATTCACAAAGCAGTGACAAAAGCGACCAACTTTCAAAGGCAAAGCAAATGAGTCTGTGACTGGCTTTATTTACTTAGGGAAGAATTTGTGAATTTTGTGCCAACAGCATATGTACACATTGCTGCAGCTATCTCTTCCACCTTTTTTAGGGCCATTGAGGCTTCTTAGCTTGCTGGGCTAAACTAGAGAGAATTAGACTTTTTGTATTAAGTTTGGGACATTCTAGCTTCAACCTTACCATTGCTTTTGATTTTTGTTTTCTGGGTCTTCTAAAAGCTTTGGGGATTTGACCTACCATTTTGTTAGCATTGATCCATCACGGAGCTCTACATGCTGGGTTTTTATGTTCCTGGTTGTCCAGATGAGTTTGTTCTGTGCTGTGGGGAAGGTGGTTAATTAAGGGCTTCAGGCAGAACCTACAAGTGTTTTTTAGGTTTTTCTTGCTGATTGGTTCATCATTCTCTTTATTTTATTTTCCACATTTCTCCTCCAATCTCAAGAATGAACTTCTCATAAAGCCCCACCAGCTGACATATAGCCTGCAAACTGCTGCCTGTTTGACTGCCTTGTGGTTTCTCTGTGAGAAAAAATAATTGTCGAAATTAATTCATATTTAAATCTTAAGCTTTTCTGAAAATAGATGTGAACAAATTAGGTGTCCTGGGAATTAACCAGAGCTAAGTAATTAATGATCTTTTTATCTGTGTGAATAAGGAGAATGTTTAATAAGTATTGCCAATGTTCTCTAAAAGCAGTCCTTTCTTACTGAACAGAATAGTATCGCAGTTTCTTCCTAATTGGTGTCTGAACACTCCACGACAAAAATAGAGGACTGAACTACAAATGCTAAGGGTAAGAACTTTCATTCAACAAATGTTTATGGAACACTTCACATGTGCTAAACAGTACACACATCAAAAAATTTACCCCTCATAATACAAAGGAGTATGCGAAAATGCAGCAAGTTTCAGGGACTAGCTTGCTTATTTGATTCCAGTTGTGATCTGGTTTCAAATCTATACCTGTCAGACTAAAACTAGTGCTGAAGTCTGTTGAACAGGTGCTTTTTCATCTAGATGCAAAGTTACATACGTGTACTCAGGTGATGGGGTTGGTGCTGACTTGGAGAGGAAATCCTGCCATTCTGGTGGCATTCTAGTGACATCCAGCTGAAGTGCAGGTTGTTTAATGAACTCATCTAGATTTTACTCTGTAGGTCACAACCAGCAAAGTACTGAGACAAAAAAGGACAAGTGGATGAGGACACTGTAACAGGTGTTAACTTCATCCAAAGTTTATTTATAGATAGCAGCATGGTCAGTCAGCAGATGTAAATCTTTTGGGGGGTGCTAATTTATGTTAACCATTCCAGGTTGGGCGACAAAATAATATCAAATCCCTGGAATAATTTTTACCATCCTGTGAGGTGTGGAGTTTTAGTGACATAGTAAAGAAGAGCAGGTCTCCTAAATATCGTCATTGAATGTACCTTGGTAGGAATTTGTGGATATTTGTTTGAAATTATGAAAAACTCAGGACATGTATCAGGGAGTCACCATCCCTGGATGCTTATTTTATGCTAAAATGAACCAATGTATCAGACAGTAAACTAACCATCAGCCAGAAAGCTAATGACCAGGTATGTGGATTAAGCCCTTTACTTTTTTTTTTTTTTTCCAGAGAAGAAATTGAAGTGGTGACTAAGTGTTCAAACTTGGGGTCAGACACTTGGGTATAAATTCCAACTCTAATACTTATCAGCTGTGTGAACCTGGGCACTTTGCTTAAACTCTCTGTAAACGTTTCTCATCTATAAAATACAGTTTATAAGTGGATCGATTTCATAGAGTTGTTATGAGTTTTAAATAAATGAATGCTATTTAATTTTTGCTTTCTTCTTCTTTTATTTATTTATTTATTTTTTTTTTGAGACAGTGTCTTGCTCTGTTGCCCAGGTTGGAGTGCAGTGGCACAATCTTGGCTCACTGCAACCTCTACCTCCCAGGTTCGAGTGATTCTTGTGCTTCAGCCTCTAGAGTAGCTGGGATTACAGGTGCATACCACCATGGCCTGCTAATTTTTTTTTTTTTTTGTATTTTTAGTAGAGACGGGGTTTTGCTGTGTTGGCCAGTCTGGTCTCGAACTCCTGGCCTCAAGTGATCTATCTCCCTCGGCCTCCCAAAGTGCCCAGATTACAGTCGCAAGCCACTGAGCCTGGCCAGAATTTTGCTGTTTTCTTCATTCCTGTGATTCTTACATTTTGACAGCATAATTTTTTCCCTAAAAATTAAAGGGGAAAGATGAAGAAGTAAAACTAAAAGTGTTTGTTTTTCAGGGCTTTTTTTTTTTTTTTTTTTTAGTAATTTTAGCACAAGAACCAGGTGAACCAGGTTGTTTGACATCACTCATTTTCTTTCCAACGTGTATATTATGATTATGCATTAATCAGAGTCTTTTGCAGATATGAGAGGGGAGGGAAGGGGGTTGGAGGTGAGAGGATAGGGAGCTGGAACTAAAGGCAAACTTTTAGTCACCCCTTCCACAGTTCTCCTTGGAACAATCATAAATATCTGCCATGTGTTGTTCACTTAGGTAACATTTAAAGCACCAGGCCAGATGCTGTGACAAACGTAAATAATTATGTAAGTCAGAGATCCCTGTTGATTATAATCACGGTTGAAAGATAACACGTATGTCTATAGGAAGTTAAATAAGAACTTTGGAGTCTGACTGAAAGAAAATGAGTGTACCAAAAGCAAATCAGAGACTGGGCTTAAGAAGGTTAAAGAGATGGCGAATTTCTCACTCTGTCGTTGACATAATGTTGACTGTGGTTAAGCACCAAATCAATGGCTGAGATGGTAAGTGTTGCATGGCTTATTGGTGGATCAAAGCATGACTGTTATGAATGATTGAATTGAATACAGTCATCTGAGAAGGCTTCATGGCAGAGGTAGAAATTGAACTTTGCCTTGAAGGATATGTAGGAGTTGGAAAGGCAAAGAGAAAATAAAGGATGCAAATACTTGTAGGAACTCCAATTTATTTGGGGAATAAATTTACAATAGGATATCATTTATGTCATTCTTCTTGCAGCATGGTATGTTTAAAAGAGATATTTAAAGGCAATTCTTAGTAATAATCTGCTCCGTGCTGTGCCTGATTCTGGGCCAGATGAAGGTTGAGAGGAAAAATTGAGATTCATGAAAAGGACAGAAGAGGAGGCTGCAGGTGATTGAACAATAGAGCAAGCAGAAAGCTGTTCATCATCTGTTCACCACCACTGGAGACAAAACAGAAAAGAATGTTTTATTGTGAGGGATTTAAATAAATAAGGAAAATCATTTTGACATCCCCATGACTCTTACTTTAATCAATTATTAAATCTTATCTATTTGCTATTTTAATAATTTTGAATTCACTCACCTGCCTGTCTGAAATGCCAAATTCTTAAGCCACCATCTCTTGTCTAGATGATCACAGGAGTCTTTGGCCACTTACCATATTCATTCTTGTCTCAATCTCTGCCAGCTGAACAATCTTTAATAAAAGCAAATCAGATCATGGCAGTTTTCTTCCTTAAAACCTTTCTATAATTTACTATTCTTAGCATTAACTCCAAACTTTATAGCATGATCTACCTGTTCCTGCATCCCAGGCCCTGTCTCTTCTCCAGCATCACTGCACGTCCACATTGCCTGGGCCCTTTATGTTTCAACCATATGGTCATTTTTTTTTTTCACTTCAGGTACTTCCTATTATAGGATTCCCTATGACAGGAATATATTTCTCACCCTCACTTGATTCCTATATATCCAAAGATAAGTTTTTCATGGGACAGTTTCCTGGCCCCCTAGCCTATGTTAAATACCGCATTATAGGCTCTGGGGAGACATCGTTTTTATCCCACTTGTAATGACTTGTTTAATATCATCCTTCCAAAAGACACTTTGTGTACAACTGTTGAACAAAATAGGCAGGAAGTTGTGAAACTTAGTAATACATTCGGACAATTAAAGACAAGTAGTAAACCAAGCAGAAATTATAGATGTCCAATGATAAGTGACATCGATGAAAGAGAAGATAGAGTAAGGAGGATCAGGAAGTTTAGATAAGGAAAGCAGTTTGCAGAGTTAAAAAGAATGGTCAATATGTCTCTATATCATATAAAAATTAACTCCAGAAATATTATAGTGTTAAATGTAAACCTTAAAATATAAATCAATGGCCTCAATAAAGCCTGGCATGGACTAGTAAGTCATTAATAAATGTTTGTCAAGGATATTAATGAGGAAAAATTTCAGATCACACTCATTTAAAATTCTAAGGTTGATTTAGCCCCACCATGAACACAATGCTACCCTGACTGTGTAGCAGTGCAGGCAAACCATGGCCAACCCCAGCATTGTCTCAGTTCTGCTCTGAAATCTCCTGTGGTGAAAGAGAATTCCTCTCACTTCTTTTTCCTGTCTCCTGTGAGATTCCAACAGGGTCTAACAGAGCTAATTAATTACCCTGTCGCTAGGGCATAGGGACTTCCTGGCAGTGATTTCTGAGGGTGCCAGAAGATCTATTGAAAAAAACAAAACCACACTGTTCCAGAGAGTAGACATGCAGATAGATTTGGTATCTCAACTCCTGGATGGATTGCTGTCTCTGTCTTTCTCTCTCTCTCTCTCTCTCTCTCTCTCTCTCTCTCTCTCTCTCACTCACTCACTCTCTCACTCACTCACATGCACACAAACACACTTTCTCTTCCTGTCTCCCCTTCTGAAAAACAAACAGCTTGGCTCCTGGGCAACTTAGCTTTAAATTGGAAAATGCAGTCTTGCTTGGCAGAACAACAGTATCACAGCCTCCCCACTGCTCAGAACAGCTTGTGACATACATCCCTGCAGGCAAGACCATAAAGGGCTGTCTAATATCCTGGAACCACCACCTCCAAAAATACTTTCCTGTACAGGTTTTCAGAATTCTAGTCTATCAGGGCATTTCCTCTCTTCTCCTGCAGTTTCTCACTCGGGAATTGATCTTTGGCTTCTTTTCTCTCTGCTTAATTAATGATCCTCATCTCTCACATCATTAGAAACCACTGTGGCCCTGGAGATGAGAACTAGTACAGACATCAAAGGGCAATGGAGAGGAATCAATGACAGGACAGGAGTTCTGAAAGGGCACTTTGGTCCCTCTGACTTTAATAACATAACAAATGTCCCTTTTAAGCCACTTCAGAGAATCCCAGATTTAAACAAGAGCTTCTATCTGCCTCTCCTCCTTGCTCATCTCAAAAATACAAAATCTAGATTGAAGCCAGCTCTTGCATCATTCTTATGTTAGTCTGTTCTCACACTGCTGATAAAGATATATCTGAGACTGGGTAATTTATAAAGGAAAGAGATTTAAATTGACTCACAGTACCACATGACTGGAGAGGCCTCAAAATCAAAGGTAACAGAGGAGCAAAGTCACGTCTTACATGGTAGCAGGTAAGAGAGCTTGTGTAGGGAATTCCCCTTTATAAAACCACAAGATCTCCTGAGACTTATTCACTATCATAAGAACAGCATGGGAAAGACCTGCCCCTATGATTCAATTACCTCCCATCAGATCCCTCCCACAACACATGGGAATTATGGAAGCTACAATTCAAGATGAGATTTGTGTGGGGACACAGCCCAACTGTATCAATTCTAATTCCGTCCTAAATGATAGTGGCACCTAATAAGTCTCCCTCTAGTGGACACCCACTGCCATCCTTCTTGCATTCTCTTAGCCATAGTTAATAAAGGGACTCTAACATCCTTAACCTGCATTCAACAACCCAGTCACTATCTGCAGTGCTACTTTCCTTG